TACCACTTATAATTTTCTTTGTGTTTTCTCCCAAAGATCTTGAGTGTTCTTCATATTTATTTTTTGATTTCTACTTCTAGTTCATTTGGTCGTAGCCCGCAATCTAGTGATAAATTTCTTGTGCAAGGAGTTCTTTTTCATTTCATATTCTTTAATTTGTGAATTTGACAACATTCAATCCACTAATTGAATTTTCTAGCCTAAAATTTTCAGAATGTTTCTGAAAGCAAATAACGAGTCATTTGAGATATTATATCATCACCTATAATTATTATCCTTTCATTTTTGAAATCACAGTCAAACTGACCCATACTAAGCAATTGTCTTTGATTTCCCTTCTCCCTTATGGATTGTGACATAGCTTGAAACATATATTTTCTTTAAACTATGTTTTGTTGTTGCTTACATTTTGCCCTGACACTAACCGGTTAGAGTGCCATTTTCTACATATTTTATTTTGTTTCAGAATCCATACTTCGTGAATATCATCCTGGCTGGGTACGATAAGGAGACGGGTCCTTCACTTTACTACATTGACTACATTGCTACCATGCACAAAGTTGACAAGGCCGCGTTCGGTTATGGATCCTATTTCTCACTTGCGATGATGGATAGACACTACAGGAAAGACATGACGGTGGAGGAAGCCATTGATTTGGCTGACAAGTGCATAGTTGAGATTCGGTCTCGGTTGGTTATGGCCCCGCCAAACTTTGTGATAAAAATTGTTGACCAGAATGGAGCTAGGGAGTACGCATGGCGCGAAACCGTCAAAGATGCCGTGGAGCCCACATCCGAGGCCGCCTAATTGAGCTATGCCGAATCTCTGTTTTATAACAGTCTCAACAATGTTGTTAGATTTTAAGATGAAGTCGTGGAGTGTTGAACTGCTTTCGATATACTTGAAATATTGTCTTTGATTCAGTGATGTTTTATAATTTGTCTTGTAGAACTTCTGTGCAAAGATGGAAGCTTTTGAATTTTGTTCTTTGTTCACATCTTTCCCTAATTATCCATATTATGTTGCATCAAAGTCAACCTATTATCCCATTTATGCAAACTAGTAGTCAGAATTACAGGTAATTCCATCAGATGAGGATGCTATTGAAATATTGGCCTATTTAGACATCTCACGATATGCAACAAACACGAGCAAAGTGATGCTAATATTCGGGACTAAATTCTCAGTAAGCTATACGAATATATAGACGAGCGATATTGTGATTGCAAGGCAGAGACTACAGCTGTAGATTCTTACTGCGTCAGATACACTTCGTGTCATGGCGGGAGATTCAGCATCAACAGCAGGTGGAATAGGTGGTGGTGTTGTGGTGGGAGGTTTCGCCTTACCAGCAGGTGGAACAGATGAGTCATCTTCAGGTCTCTGTGGAGGAGGATTACTAGGAGGTGGTGGTGATGGTGGAGGCGGTGGTGGTGGTGCCATATTATCCCGGCCTGCAAAATATGAACAAGTAGAAGAAAGTTGTTCAAAAATTGCTTGGTATAACATATATGAGAGATAAAAGGCTATGTATGCTGTATCTATTTGCAGCTCATTGCATCCAAATTCAGTGTGTTTTTTTTTTTACCAGGAATTTGTGGGGTTGAACTCCCTGGACCTGTTGCAAGAGCACATCACACAGTTAGCCAACAATTGGCCACTTTCAATCTCAGTTTTGATAATGGAAAAAGGACTGAGGAGAAATAGGCACCTGTTATGCTCTTCAATGGAGGCAAGCTAGTTGTGTTTCCTGAGTTGCAGCATGAAAAGTGATAAAATGATCAGAGCCTATTACAAGTGTTTCAAATACAATAGATATTCTCCTCCAAATTATCTCCCAAAACTATGGCTCATTCCTTTTAAAGTAAACAAAAAAAAAACAGATTCACATTGGTCCAATACTGTTAGATGATTCAAGCAATTCTCCAGATTAACAGAAATCATACACGAACAGCTTGAATATGTCCGATTCACCCTTTCAAGTTCGACAATCCATATCAATGAAATTCTACAGAGCTCGGATTATCAGATTTCATCTCAAAAATGCAGAAACGCGTAATTACTAAGTACAATTCAATTTCTTAAATAGGTAATGAGCATCGAGAAACAGATTCACCAAAATCCACATACGAGTGAAGATGAAAGATGTATCATACAAATTTAGAAGCTCGATTGATCGAATCTCATTCGGTATTTACGTGACTGTGATTCTACGAACCTGAACAGAGATGCTTGAGGGAGAATTTCGCACGGCCTTCTTCCTTTCGAATCCGACAAACAGAAGGGAGAGAGTACACTCTGGTGGAGTTCACCGGGAATCCGAGGATCTGAGGCTTTTTTGTGAGGTAGCAGAGGCAGACTGCTGCGCCGGATCTGATCGAAGAAGCGATTTCGTCGCAGCACTGCGGCCTAGGTGAGTCGGTGACGTTGTTCGGAAAAGAGGAAATGTACGGCAAACACGGCGAGAACAGCACCAATTGATCGGAGCAGCTTTCCGGCGGAGTCGGAGACGGCGGAATCGAGGTTGTGAGCAGAAGAGATGAGAAGAAGACGGCGAACACGCTGATATCCATGGCGGACTTAGGCGGAGAGCTACCGTGACGGAGGAGGGAAGATGGATGAAGGGTCGGTTTTATAAGAGCATAGCGCGGGAAAATGCAGGACCGAGCTACCCGAAATGCCCTTGCGTTTGTATCTAATTACGACATTGGCATAGTTTCTTCAGTTTCTCATCTTTCTCCTTGGCAGTTCCAATTTGATGCAAAAATATGAAATCTTATCAATACTTCTTGATGTTATTCTTATAAAATATGCAACTTTATTAAAAAATGATCACTTAATCATTAATATACAACAAATAAGTTACTAAATCAAGTTCGATAAGGTATTCAGTATCATAATCATTTAGATTTTCAAGTTTATAGATGAACCCTTAAACGCTCAGTTAAAAGTACTGTAATATATACACATTAATAGTTATATCTATATGTTGAAACACTCTTTTCAGGTCATAAACAAGCTTCAAATGACCAAATAAATTATGGAGAAAAGTGGCAACATCAAGACAATATTGCCCTCCAACAAGATGAAAATCCACAAACCTTTTTGTTCATGACATTCTTTGGAAGCAAATGCTGCAATGTTTATAGATACAAATGCATATTTTTGTTTTAAATTTAGGATATTCATATCATGTATTTCTAGTCAAATATGTTAATTTATAAAACTATTAGTGTTTAGTTATATGAGCAATTTGTTAGAAAATATAATTATAGTTTGATTTTTCATCAAACAAGATTATAAATAGAGGTGTACTCCGGGATAATACAATGCTATAAAAACATAAGTTTAAGTATATTAAAGTCGAACAAAATAAATATGGCTCAAACTTACTAAAAAATAACAATTGCAAATGTATGATTAATTTAATATTTTAGTGATAACGTTTCAGTTCGATATTTTAATTTATATTTTTTCGAAACTCGTCTCGTACCATTTTGAAAATAGTTAGATTCGATTCGGAGTATAATTTACTAGAACCATTTGTGAACCCACTTTCTGGTATGATTCAATATTTGTCTGATTCGGAACAATGATTGACAGTATTTTTGTCTGTCCCTAATTTTAGTAGAAAATTGAATATAAATATTGTGATCCGTATGCATCATTCTACATTCATTTTTTAGCCAAAGACCATATAGTCGAATCACATCATGGTGATTTGGTATATTGAGAATATATGAACAAATATTCCATTGAATAGAGTTATCAATATTAAAAAAATTCATTCATTTTTAACTTAGTCATATTTCTTTATATTGTGTTGTAAAATTCACAACACCATTCTGTTGTATTTGCACATTTTGAACTCAGCCATATTTATTTTATATTGAATTGTAAAAGTCACCACACCGTTGTATTTGCACAATTTGAGTGTTTTGATCAAAATAGGAGAATTTTAAAAATTAATTATTTTTAATTTGGATAACATATTACTCCCTCTGTTTTTGCTATATGTCAACATTTGACCCTTTTTCGATCAAATTTGATAAATTTTGAAGCCAAATTAAAAAAAATGATACTAGATATTGATACAAAAATAGTTATATTAGATTTATTATATAAAATGTTTTCAAAATATGATTTTATTTAATTAATATACAATATTGTTGGGATAATGTCCAAGCATATATCAGGCTCATTCGACAAGGCCATAACATTGCAGATATCCAACCCGTGCGGATCAAGTAAGAGTGCAAACAACCACATGGATATATGGCTAAGTCCGACCAGAGTGTCATGTCCCGACCAGAGTGGCAGAGTGGTATGCCCCGAGCATGAGTGGTATATCCCAACCAGAGTGGCACCTTGGCCATAGTGGAAAGCCCCTAGCCGGAGTGGTATATCCCGACTAGAGTGGCACCTTGGCCAGAGTCCCATGCCCCAACCACAGTGGTATATCCCGAGCCCGAGGAGGATACCTACTAGAGTGATGGACAGACACCAATCCCGACTTAAGGGTTATGGAGAGCGATTGTTCGACCCATTACGGTTTGCAAAACTTTAATGGCCCTAGTATAAATGAAAGGAATGATGTAGCCCATTATGGATCCTTTTTTCCCTCTCTAGAGAGAGAAAGCTTGGTGAGCTTTCTTTCATGACTTCTAGCTCCTTTCTAACACCAAACAATACAGGAATAAAGAACACTTTGGCTTGACCGAAAAGGGCTAGTGGTTTTCTCCCAGATTCAGGTTCCACGTAAAAATCATCATTATTATTATCTTCATTTTTATCCACAAGCCCACATACAAATCTATGATGGTTTGGGCCTAAAGACGGCTTTGGATCTCTAAAAACCCAAAGCAATTAACTCTAACAAGTATATATATTTTATTAAGTTATAAGTGAAAAATTAAAAATGATTAACTGAAACGAAAGTAGTCATATAACAACGAAAGCTCATAACAAAATAAATCTAATTAAAATATTTTTATATAAATATACTTTACACTTGTTATTAAATTAAGAATATAAATTCTTCGTGAAATCTTGGACCGAAGAATATAAATTCTTCGGATTTGAATCGAAAAAATCAAATTGATAGAGAGAGGTAGTGTAATGCATAATGTCATATAAAAAGTGTAACAGGAGGATCAGTAGAAACGAGGCTAAACATGAAAGCGTCTCTGGGCTTCCCCTTGAGAAGATAATACCTCCTCAAAACCCCTTCCCTTGTGAACCCGGCCTTCTCCAACACCCTCTGAGATCCCGGGTTCTCGACGTCCACCACCGCCTGCAGCCGCTCCAGCTCCGGCCACTCCACGAACACCGACGCCGCCGCCATCTTCACCGCCTTCGTCCCGATCCCCTTCCCCCAGTACTTCGACGCCAGGGCATACCCGATCTCGGCCCTGCACCTGTCGTCCCCGCGATACGGCTGGACCGAGATTGAGCCGGCGATCTTCCCGTCCACGCAGATCCCCCGGTACCAGGGATGCCGGAGCACTCTGTCGAGGATGTATTCCTCCACCGATTCCTTGGATCTGTAGGCGTCCCAGGAGCAGAACTGGCTCGCCTTCTCGTCCGATAAGCACTCCATGTATTCCTCCGCGTCCGAGAGATCCATGAGCCTCAAAGTGACGTCGTGTTCTTTGTTTTCGCTGCTGAATCCCTCGCCGCCGGCGGAGGATGTCGGCGGTGGTTGCTCTTCCCGGATATCGATTCTTGACATTCTCTGGCCTTGTATCTAGGGCTCCGATCGTTTCTCAATCCCTATTGATTTGGTACTTTGTTTGGACTTCCGATGCTTATTTATATAAATGGTACCCAAAGAAATGACACTAATATTTTTTTAAAAAATACTTATTCAATTAAAAAAATCGCACTCACAATTTATCAATAAAATTATTTTTGTATTAATATCTAAATTCAATTTTTATTTAATTTAAGGTCAAAACTTATTAATTTATGCTGAAAAATTAAAAGTAAACAAATATTTAATGATGGAAGGTACGGAGTACTAAAAATGTTTTAGGAGCGGGATTTTAGTGTTTGATTCTCCCAGTCGCAGCAGCCTCATTTGACGATTGACTAGGGACGACCCAATTTGGAAAAGGGAGGATAAGGAGACTGGAATTTAATTTTGAAAAATCGTATATCAAAATTTCCAAATTACATATTGGTCTTATTTGAAAATTGGTGAATAGATGTGGTTTTTAGTATTTATTAATTGAGTAAATTATATAAAAAGTTCTCACTTATAGGTCGTTTTACATATTTAATCCTTACATATCGAATATTACTAATTTAGTCTCCAATTATTATATTCATTTCCACGAATGGTCCTTTGTTAACATTTCCGTTATGAACGTGGATAAAATTGTAAATTCATACTTTTTTCTCTCCTCAATTAAGCTTCTTTCCTCTCTTCGCACTCCTTTTCCAAATCCGTTGCTGAGTTTGAAGCTTTGAACCCAAAACCGAAATCAGCACCCTTCTCTTAATTGTTTGCCTAACTGGTTGAACCCAAATTCGAAACCAGTAACCTTCATGGATGAGTTTTAATGTCTATTTTCTTTGCAATTTCTTGAGACTAACCGAAAAAACTCATCCATAAAGCTTATTGGTTTTGATTTTAGGTTCCACCAAGAAGACTAATAATTATGAGAGGAATAATCATTTCAGTTTTAGGTTTAGAACTTCAACCTCAGTGACGAGTTTGGAAAGAGTACGAGAGAAGGAGGAAGCTTAATTGAAGAGAGAGAAGTATGAATATACAATTTTATCCATGTTCTTAACAAAAACGTTAACAAATGACCATTCGTGAAAAATGATACTTCCTCCGCCCCCCTAAGATGTTCTCATTTTGACTTTTGGTGGTTTTTAAGGAGAGTTGAAAAAAGGTGAAAGTTTACCATTATACCCTTAATGAAAAATAGGTGGAGTATATTAAATGAGGTGAGTGAGGTGTAATAAATAAAACAAGTGGGGGTAGTTGTGATATTTTAATTGTTAAAAAATGAAATGAGAAGATCTATTGTGGGCAAAGAAAAAAGGCTATTGGGAAGATCTTTGGGGGACGGAGGGAGTATAATAATTGGGGACTAAATTAGTAGTATTTAATATGTAGGGACTAAATATGTAAAACGACATATATCTAAAGACCTTTTATGAAATTTACTCTTATTAATTTGAATATAATAACTTCTTAGAATCGAAAGTATACATAACTTTCATATTTTTTTAGTGTCCTCTTTTCTTCACATCAGTGACACATTATATCTTACTTTTATTTCATATTTTTCTTACTACAAGTGAGGGTTTACATATGTCAATCCGCCAACTTACTGCAACTATTTTTTAAATTTTTGACTTAAATTAATAGTATAAATGAATTTTAAAATAATTATCTTTTGCAAAGATTAATTATAAATTAAATTTAAAATATCTTTATCAAAATTTAACACATTTTGATACTATGTGATGGTGTAAATTACTTGACCGGTTGAACTATACTAGACCGGGTCTAGAATAGTTTGCTTGATTTGGCAAAGTAAGAAAGGTAAAAACACGCAGATTGACCGGTAGGACTTTAGGTGGAACACCTGTAGCCCAATTTCTATTATAACGGAGAATGCACAGGTGCTTTTACAAGGGAGTTTAGAGAGAATGAATTCGGATCTCTCTTTCTGAGGTTTACATGAGTATTTATACTAGGCTATGGGTGACAAAGCCACGTGCGCCCACGTGGGGGCATGCTGCTGATGTGGTGCGAGGTGACTGGTTTCGTCCTTGAGCTGCCTTGTCGCCTTGTGAGGGGGATTATTCCCTTTGTCGAGTAGTGCCTTGGATGGATTCTTTAGCATCTCCAGTTGTCCTCTACTGACATAGGTCGCTACACGCCAAGCCCTCCTAGATTCTCTTCTGCCGACACTTTCCAACCCTAGAAACTACACAGGGTAATCTCCGAGGGATGAATTCATCGAAGTTTGGGAATAAATAAGGTGACAACGTAGTTTGACCAGTATACTTCTTCGTGAAGTATACCGGTCATCTTTTGGCCGATTACATATCGATTTGCTGACGATTTAAGTCTCCCTTCCAAGACTTTCGAGATTGACCGGTCAACTAATTGGTCTTTTCCTTTGACCGGTCGTAGGTGGAATACACCTATCACTATGATTTAATAATAGAGAGTAAGGTTGAAAAAAACGGGTGTGATTTAAATGATAATGGGTTTAAAACAATGTTAAAAAAATGGATGTGATTCAAATAATTAAATGGATTTAAAACTTGTATTTATTACGGAGTAGTTGGGAAAGGTAATATTATTGTTAGATGGAAAGCAACCTTGTCCAGTATAACTGACAAAACAATAGACTACTTAACCGATTGAATTTGGTACCAAAAGGTGAGAGATAGTGTTACCCTCTTTGCCAAATTGGTATATCAATTTATTTTGGTACCAAATTGCTATTAATCGATCCATCCATACCGTCCGGCCTTATAGTTACATTTCCTCCTAAATAACTACCCAGTAAAAAGCTGAATACAGTGATGTCTTATAGTCGATTCCATTATTCAATATAAAGACTCTTGGATTGGGCCCATTTTTGTATTACCTAGTGCTATGATTTAAGTTTTTCATTATGTTTACAATATCTTTGAACCTTCCTTTTGTTTAAGGAATTTTGATTCTATTCATGTAATGTCATAATATCTTTTACCATATTCACGTACACATACGTCTTTATCCCACAAACTTACATAGCACAAAGTGCAATTCTATAATTAATGGTTGTTTATAATGCTCTATTAATCTAAGATTGACATATAATGATTAGTTCATGAGTTTCACATAATGTCCACGCCTGTGAAATCTCATTATATGGTTGCACTCTAACAAGCTCACCCCTACTTTTGTCCACATAATGCCATTTTTTTTGCAGATTTACTTTCCATAAAGTTTCTATTTTTACATAATACCTTCGTTGTTTATGGTGCCCTTCTCATATTGTCTTTGACACACTTGATAGTATGCATATAGAGGAACTCATTCTTGTTTGTAAGACGCAGGTAACTAATCTTTGAGGTACAAATAGATTTATTTAAAGAGTAATTTACTTAAATAGCACTAAAACATAATGACTTTTCCTAAATAGCACCATATGTGTTTTTCTTCCCAGTATAGCACTTTTAGTCATTATGCATTAGTCATTATTCAAGCAAATATTCACCATCACTGGACATTATTAAGTGTTATTTAGGGAATAAAATAGTTTAAGTGCTATTTAATGCAAATATTTCTTATTTAAATTGATTTGAAAATTGCGCCTCAATTGCACTTAAATTTTATATCAATGCAAGTGCGAGATTGATGAGTTACATTGATACAAAATGTCAGTACAAAACTTTACGATCACACTGATATTTTAGATTAATGTAAGCCACTAAAATGTAGGTGTACACAAGTAAAGTAAATTTTAAGGCACAATTTTTTGGATACACCTAGCATGGTTGATTTAATTTAAATTGGATATGGGAGTTATTGGCGGTGCATGTAATCACATTGACATTAATTTAGTATCCCACTGAGGAAACTTGTCTTTTCCCCTTCTCAAGCGCATCTTCTAATAGGAGTAATCCTATTTTTTTGCAAGGAAAAATTAAGGCATCCAAACAATTATAAGCCACCATTTGTACACAAAAGGTAAATACAGACATTTTATGTTTGTTCAGACACAAACATTATGTTGCATTTGCCTTTATTGTACAAATGGTATACAATTTTCGAGAACCCTAACATTCTCCTTTTGGAAAATTGCCATGTCTAGCTCATGTTTGCGTAATTTTCTCCTAAAATACACAATTTAAAAATAAATAAAAATATTAGGGGTGCACTAAAAATTGCCATATCCAATTTAAATTAAATCAACCATGCTAGGTGTATCCAAAAAATCGTGCCTTAAAATTTACCTTACTGGTGTACACCTACATTTTGGTGGTTTACATTAATCTAAAATATCAGTGTGATCGTAAAGTTTTGTACTGACATTTTGTATCAATGTAACTCATCAATCTCGCACTTACATTAAAAATAAAAAAGTTTCGAGGTAGATGAAGGTGTACCCTTATCCCTTCTCCACCTCATAATTTTTTTTATTTTTACAAAAAAATAAATAAAAATATTAGGGGTACACTAAAAATGTATCTTAAATGATCACCACACAATTTTGGATATAGATAAATAAAATTAAAAAAATGAATAAGAAATTTGTAATAAGAATGACAATGGTGTATAAATCGAGTACAATATTTGTATATACCTAGCACTACTCAAAAACAAAGGTATGGGTATAAAAATGCAGTGTTAATATTTTAAAAAGAAAACTTTAGAGGGATAGTCAAAACGCAGTTTGCGAGCTTAAATGTAAAATAATGGCGAAATTAATGCCCACCCCATTCGCAATCTTACCTTCTCCATTCCCAACCTTATCCCTGCTTTCCATTTCTCCATTTATTTCCCGATTTCGCCAGAAGCCGTCTGCCTTCACTGCCGGCTCTCGCTGTTCCACGCACCGGAAGCCGCCTTTCACGGACATGTCTGTTACCATTCCAGTCGCCGGTTCTCTCCGCCGGGAGATTGCTGCCGAACCGTTGCTGGATTCTCGAAATCGTAAGCGTTTTTTTAGTGCGCATTGAAATTTCAAGCGTTAATGGTAGTTATATACATAAAAAAACTGTATATTTACTCAGGTATAAGATAATTTTAGGATCGTGTGGATGCTATAAATTTCACATCACTAGATCTTCATTAGATAAAGTAGAAGCTGAGAGGATTTGGTCAAGAAATGTTTGCTAGCTCAACTCGTCGGAAACTTAGAGATCATGGAATAATAGATTGGAACAGTACAAATAATGGATTAGTCAATGGAGCTTAATTTAGTCGATTTGAGGATAGGGTCGTGTTTCAGAGTTCCAGTCTTGTGTGCATTATGAAGCATTTGTTGTTAAATTCATAATTTTAAATATAGAGTTTGGGGCTTAATAATAGGCCGGATTAAGGGGGAATAAGAATGAAATGCTAAAATATGCAGAGCCTGAAATTTAAAGGGCTAAAGAGCAAAGCCATCAGGTTTAAATTTGTTCTAGATTTTGTTTTGCGCAAAGTAACTTTCTTTATGTTTTGCCCAATCTTTTCTTGTGAACTGTATTTTTGTACTCCATATAGGTCTTTAGAGATGATTATTTAGTGTTGAAGATTGGTGGGTGCATCAAAATGATGAATGGTGATAGTCCAGAAACAAGAGAATGACAGCGAATGTTACTAGTGGTCAATTGCCCACTGTAGATGTGTTTTTAAAAAATCAACTATGTTAGAGTGTTTGAGTGAACTTGAGTCCCTACCCTACTTCCTTAAGAAAATAAACTATACTTCTCCCTCCCTTTCGAAATGAACTAAACTGTTTGACCTCATGGAGTTTAATAAAAGTGTTGAAAAGTGAAAAGTTGTTTGAAATTTGTTTAAAAGAGAGATATAGTTTAGGCCACATTCTTTTACCTAAGTAGACAAGGGTGAAGTGGTAGAAGCTATTTTGAGACGGACAAAAAAGGAAAATGTAAAGTTGATTGTGAAACTGAGGGAGTGTTACATAAATGTCAAAAGTTCAAGATTATTCTTTTCACTCTAACCTAGGCTCACATTGGAATGTCACTTGCTATTTGATGCATGCACGATTGCATACATATGTTTTTTTTTAACTTATTTGTCTCCAAGGACCTATTGATTATTACGATTATTACTTCTGACTCTTACAAAAGAAGAAAGACGTAAACTACTCTGTATTTATTTATCTGATGAACGAGAACATGTGGAAATTTTAGTTTAATTTTTTTATTCTAGCTCTCAGTTTATTTTTTTTATATCCTAGCTCATTGAATTTTCTGCTTGGTCTCCATATTCAATGTATGCCACTCTCTGCGATAAAGGTGCAGGGAAGAGTGATGTGTTGGCATCAGATTTGGACCAAGATACAAGCACATCAAGTAAAGGTGGCCTTCACAAGAGCAAATACTCTATGACTTCCATCAGCTGCTTTGGAGTTGACCTTACACCAGATAACATTGCAGTGGCTATGGTCTATTTTGTTCAGGGTGTCTTAGGACTTTCCAGGCTCGCTGTCAGTTTCTACTTGAAAGATGACCTGCATCTTGACCCTGCAGAGGTATCTTGTCTTAATAATCATAGACCATTATCATTATTACAAAAATCTTTCCCTGAGTCCGTGACTAAGCTTACATTTTGTTAGAATAAAATATAGTATACATTTATGTGGAGTTAAGCTCTTTATATAATACCAGAAAATGCATTGAATGTCGCATTGTCCTTTGATAGAAGGTGTTGTAGATTTGTAGTATTAATAATCGTTGAAGGTTATATATTAGGTTAATAACATATGATAAAATGGAAAAAATTATTTACTCCGTATTTAATCATTCAAACACTCATACATTTATGTTATCTTCAGAAAAATCCTTTAGGAATTTCCGAACAATAAAATAAAATGAATAATAGTGTCAAATCTGAAAAATAAATGAATATAACCTAATTTAGCTTGCATAAATTGAGGAATAAAGGTTATCACACATCCTTGTAGACAGTCTGAAGTCATAGGCTGCGGTAATCATAGATTAAAGAGGTTATTTTATAACTCGAACCAACCAAGGTTATCTAACATAACCAAAACCACATTACCTAGGCAATATCAAATACCTCGATACGAGCATTCGATAAGATGGAGTAGATAGTTAAAAGAATGGTAGGCGTGTATTTATTCAAATGGGTCTTGTTTCTCTCTTTCAAAATGTGTAGTTGGAATTGATTTGAAAGACAAGAAGTGTTCACTTTTTGGTGCGTGTATGACACCGATAGTGTTCATTTAGTTTATACAGGACAAATGGTGCCAATTTGGTGTAACGCAGGGGCATTATTGCCAAAACCACTGTTTAAATGTGGTGAATGGAGTTCCTAAATTTTTGTTTATGTCAAAACGAGCAACGAGTTGATGAACTTTGATGAATGTAATCAACATATAAATATCTTATCTAAATCCAATGACTGACAAAATCTTATATTGCGAACTAGACAGCAGTTATATCTGGATTTTCATCATTACCGTGGCTTGTAAAACCTTTATATGGGTTTATCAGGTGCCGATTAATTTTGATGCTTCTTTTCTCTAGAATGCTGCGTTCAAAAGTGCATAAGATCTCATGAAAAAGTATTTGCCTTGTAGTGATTATTTCCCCCTTTTTGGATACCGGAGAAGATCTTATCTGGTTCTATCAGGGCTTCTTGGAGCACTCTCCTGGAGTCTGATGTCCACCTTTGTTGACAGCAAGTATGGCGCTGCTTTCTGCATTCTTCTTGGATCTCTTTCAGTTGCTTTCTCCGATGTTGTAAGTACCTTTTGTAACTTATTCACATCCGTACATGCCTGTTTATTCTTTATGTTATCAGTGCTAAGAACAAACTATTCAATGCATATTACCCACTATTTTTGTTTTGGGTTGATTAAAAATGTGTTAGACTGCCCCTCTCCCCCTCCCCAAACTCTCCAAAGAAAAATAGCCATGTTTCAAAAGTTTTATTGGGGTACTATTTGATCAAACTAATCTAATTTTTCAGGGGTTTTTGCAAAAAAAGAGTTGCAAGCAAGTTAAATAGTTAAACTACTTTTGGTACAAATTTAGTTAAAATAAACATGTCCCAATATTTGATTATTTACTTAATCTAAAAAAAATTAAAATATACTCTCTACTTCAGATGTAAGATTTCATTACTTTAATGGTTTGTACCTTGCCAAAATTAAAATTTTGTACCTTGACCAAACATACCTCTCACTCTCTCTTTTTTCGGACAGAGGGAACACATCTTCTGCCTTGAGTCAGACAATAATGGTCAAGGCTAACACATGAAAATTTATTTAAGCTATATTGCTGGCTTGGTTGAATTGACATATACCTCTTTTTTTTGTTTATATGTCTTGTTCTTCTGATGGTGTCGTTTTTTTTCATTTTCAGCTATGATATTAAATTGAGGCATGATGTAGGTTGTTGATTCAATGGTAGTAGAGAGGGCACGAGGTGAGTCTCAAAGCATGTCTGGATCTCTCCAGTCATTATGTTGGGGTTCTTCGGCCTTTGGAGGAATTGTCAGTGCATACTTTAGTGGTTCCCTGGTGGATGCCTATGGTGTGAGGTGTGTTAGTGTGTGTCGAATGAAACTCTTCTGTTGATTTATTCCCATCCTGAGTCCCTTACATTACTTGCAGGTTTGTTTTCGGCGTGACAGCATTGTTGCCATTAATAACTTCTGCAGTATCCATTCTTGTGAAAGAGCAGCCTGTGCATGGCCTACCCAGGGGTCAGAATCTTTCTTTAGACATTAGCTTCTTTGAGAGCTCAAAGAAGAACATTATTCAATTGTGGGGAGCTGTTAAAGAGCCCAATGTTTTTCTACCAACCATATTTATATTTCTATGGCAGGCAACTCCACAGTCTGATTCTGCCATGTTTTATTTCACGTACGTGCTTTGTAGGCTTAACTTGGTTTGACCATTTTGTGGCATGTTTTGAGAAACCGTAAAAATCATTTTGTCTGATTCTTATAGAACAAATAAACTCGGTTTCACTCCAGAGTTCTTGGGCCGTGTCAAACTTGTCACTTCAATTGCGTCCCTTCTTGGTGTTGGGCTGTATAATGGTTTCTTAAAGAATGTTCCACTGAGAAAGATATTCCTTGCAACAACTGTTATCGGCACAACCCTTGGGATGACCCAGGTTTGTCACCAATACAAATTTGTTTGTTTCTACCACTATTAGGCCTTGTATGGGAACAACATTTTCGATCAGCGTTGCCGTTTTGAATAATTTTTAATGGTGTAGATTGATTTTGAAAACGCTAAGCTAAACGCTGATATTATAGCTAACCTTTTCAAAATGCTAAATCTAAATGCCGAAGTTGTTGCCAAGCAAGCACTTTTCTCCAATTTTTTGCTTTGTTGTCAGATATTTAAAGTTGAATGAAACTTGTGTCTCGCAGGTGCTCCTTGTAACTGGATTGAACCGGCAATTAGGCATTAGTGATGAGTGGTTTGCAATTGGTGATTCATTGATTATTACAGTCCTCGGCCAGGTAATCACGTACTCATGTCTATATACATATATTTTTCGATAATATTTTATTCTCTCGTACTATATTATACTTCATATGTTTTTATGCGATGTTAACTTGGGTCTATATCACACCCAAAAGGAATTCTCAAGAAGTGATGTTTATCTCACACTTGCCCTAAAAAGTTCAAACTATGCCGAACAACTTTAGGGGTTGACAGATTGGCCTAAAATGACTCCCAACTGACAAATGTCCCACAAATTAGCTTCAGAGCATGTTCTAATTCCATGAAGAAGTGGGCATCACCACCCTCAAGGGGTGAGATAAAACTTAAACATATACACCAGATTTGAAACTCAATAGACAACTGATATGGTATATGCCCGAACAAATTATTTTCTGCAACTGCAGTCCCTTTGTTATTAACTTTGGTGGTAACTAGAGGCTTTGCTTTCCAGGCTTCTTTCATGCCAGTACTTGTACTAGCTGCAAGAATATGTCCACAAGGAATGGAAGCGACCCTATTCGCAACCCTAATGTCGATATGTAACGGGGGTGGGGTCCTTGGGGGCCTGATTGGCGCGGGTCTAACCCAGATCTTCGGCGTGACCAGGGACAAATTCAACAATTTGGCAGCTCTGATTATTCTTTGCAATCTTAGCTCCTTGTTGCCTCTACCACTGCTCGGTCTCCTGCCCAAAGACGACGAGGAGAAGAAGAACACAGACATTGAGATGAAGTCTAATTGAAACTCTCAGTTTGTTTAGCTTTAATGCTCTGTTAGACAACCGAAGGAGATGATCAGATGTAAATATTTGAGAAAGATACATGCTAATATTGCTGTGTAACTTCATTTTTCTTTGTATCTTTAATTCAAATGATGAAATATAATTTCTTTACTTTTCTTGGTTTTTTTTCCTTATTATTTTACCAAGCAGTTCAGGTGATGATTTAATGACAGGTAAAACAATATTTACTTTCTGTTTGTATTAGATGTTAGAGATTTATCGATAGAAAATTTTCGGTTTCGCCTCGATGAACTGAAGGCTTTTAAGAGATCGATGACTCCTAAGTGTGGAGTGGTAATCAAATGGGTCATTCAAACTTGTCGTAGGAATTTTTTTATGCGGATTTAGAGTTTGTTCTCTTCAATTTATTTTTATTAGAACCAATTCAGAACAGATCAAAAATAGTTTTAAATATAATTACATTCAGTTCATATCAGATTAGAATTTATTCTAATCAGATCGAGTGAAGAGAATATGTCCTTAATAATTCATCATTTTTCCAATGGGATTTTTGTTCTCTTCAAGGAAATACAAACACTCTCTCCGTCCCATTTTAAATTGTCTGTTTTCTTTTTTTGTTCGTTCCAAAATAACTTACATGTTTCTTATTATAATACTCGTAAATTTTAAGGGTAAAATATCTAAATTATCTCTAAAATAACTCACTTTTTTTCACATTATCTTCTCATTCTTTGCCAACCCCTAAAAAGTAAGGGTATTTAAAAAAAATCAGCATCATTTTTTTCTTCTTTAAATATGCTCCAAATTTAAAACGAGCAATCAATATAAGATGGGAGAGAGAGTAATATTTATGTGAAATGGTGAAGTCAAGACTACAAATCTTGTGTGGATAATGGCTGAAAGGTACACACATAACTTGCTTTCACGGACGTGGGGAACGGATTGATGCTCACATGGTGGGCCATTTGATTAATAAAAGCAGTACAGTCCAAAAGAATGTGTTGGTCACATGCTCACATTGTACATGTAATAACCCCATTCGGCCTCTAAGCATGAAAAAAAAAATTGTGTTTCTGATTTTTATAGTTTTTAATTTATAAGCTGCTAATAAGTTGAACATTTCGTTTGTGAAAGTAAAATGACTTAAATGATAGAAACCATTTGAAAATATTCATAAATGTTGATGATTAGTTTTGTAAAAATCTAATCAAAGTGTAGTTTCAAAAAAATGGTTTATAAATAAATAAGTAAGTTCTACTTATTTTTTCTGGCTTATAAGTTACTTATAAGTCAACTTATAAACACTGGGAAAATATATCATCAGGTAATGTATAAGTTTAAATATACTTATGAAATTTTTTAACTAGATTATAGGATCTAATTCACTCCACTCACTATTCTATCATGCTAGAAGGTGGGGACATTGGGGGTATAATATTCCACCTTTTTTTAACCTCATTGGGTTACAATTGAGCAATTCAATTATTAACCATGCTAGGAGTACACCAAGAAGTGTACCCCAAAAGGATATACCAATATTTAAATAGTTTCACAGTGCACAAAGTGTTAGTTCAATCAAAAAAAATTATGCTGACATTTTCTGTAAGTGTAAACCAGCACACTAGCACAAAATGTTGGTACATGTCTTCAAGGTACAATGTATTATGCAAATTTTGGGGGTACACATAGCTTAATTCTTCAATTACACTAATTAAGTGGTTTGAGTATCATACTTGACAAGGGATCTTTTGATACCATTTATTAATTTTATATTGAACCATTGTTATGGGTACACCAAAATAAGATACCCCATTTGTACACCAGACAAACACAAACACTTAGTGTCTGTAATCCATGTAAGAGTGCTATGTATAATAATACTTTTATCCATAACATACCAAAAACCTTGTAATTGAGCGGATATAAATTTGACTTTTCCAATCAAACTTTAATGTCAAATTAGACAACAAGAACAAGATCTACCCATAATCTCCTATTGACCAGCTAATCTCAATTGTCACAAACCAAACTCTCCCATATATATATTCAACTTGGAGATTTATTATATGATGGAAACATCAGTTTGCATTGGAAGTTGGAACATGGTCCTTTGTTGTGACTATATGTAGGGTATAGTACGTTTTAATTTAAACTTCATTTAATATTAATTAATTATCTTTTTTCTGTGGATAAATAGAATAAAATAGCATCATAGTGACGTATTTCTTTTGTCACGCATTTTGATTTTTTTTCCCATCATATCACTTCTCTTAATCAGATTTTTCAAAATAAACATTAACAAGGTTGTCTTGGGTAAACACCTTAACTATATAGTACTTTGGTTTTTTAAATCAAATTTTACAAAATTTGCCTCGTTTTTTTATATATAAATTATGTTTGTGTATAGACATAATAATCTAAGCTATGATATATGTATGACCATATATTTCAGAGTTATTATCAATTAATTGGGTGAGCTCTTATTGCATTGGCTTGTCTTTTTTGATAGGCATAAAACATAAACAAATAAAGAAAAAGAATTGAGATCCTTCAATTTATGGCCAAATAAGTTCCGACATGCTCTAACTCTATCACATGGGAAGCTAATAAGAAGAAGTTGGAAGTTGCAGGGGAAAAGTTTTTGAAAAAAAATAGTGTATGTTTCTAAAGAAATCGCTCTAAATAGGAGTATAACATAGAGAAAATAATAAAATAGAAGTTTCACGTTTTTTTAAATAATTGTTTGCACTGTTGTAATGTGCTACTGTACAATGTACATGACCAATTTAATATAATTTTTGGTAATGTAAATGGTCATGATTGGTAATGTAAATACATTTTAACTCATCTATCGAGAATAAAAACATAGAACTACTATTTTGGTATGTTGTCAATGTTTTACTCCTACTTTAATCTTTCTCCCATATTCCTATCTAATACTCCCTCCCTTCTAAAATTAATTTTTCATTTGATTTTCAGTCTTTAATGCAATACTTTGACTACTAATATCTTTGTTTACATATAAACATAGAGTATATATCGTTAAAATGAATTATTTTAAAGCTATGTTTCAAAATGAATCTATCGATTTTAAATTTATAAGAAAATTTAATGTATTTTTTTAAAAATATGCAGTCAAAGTTTAAAAAATTTGACTAAGAAGGAGTAATTATTATTTACTAATATAATTTGATAATAATTGTTCTTATTAAGTAATAAAGGATACAAATCTTATATAAAGGAATTACAAGAGATGATTCTAATCATAGTAGGAGAAGATTTAATTATATGATAACAATACAATAAGAAAAAAAATAGAATAAGGAATGCAATAACTAATACTTTCGCCGTCCTAAAATGTTCTTCCAGTTATTGGTTATTTGATAAAATGATGTATTATCTTGTCACCTCTTATTTTATAGAACTTTTGATGTGGTTTTTAAATATATCAATTTTATTTCATATTTTTTATTTTTACAAATACAATCAAATAAATTGAATTAAAAATAAAGTTGGCAAATTAAAACTCGTAGGGCCGAGAATAACATTTTAGGGCGGAGGGAGTAATATTTTTTTTCCTATATTATTTATATATAGTATTCCTAATATCTACTATATTAAATTAGTGTAAATTCACCAGTTCTAATGAATGATTAATTCGACCTAAGTCTTACACATTGCCATACAAATAAATTAATACATTTAGGTGTTAGGAAAAAAGAGGTTAAAACATGTAGATATATATTGATCAAGTCCTTCTATACAAGCTCTTAATTAATCATGCTAATCAATTACTCATAAGTTCATTTGCAATTTATATCTAAAAAATTTGTCCATAAAATATCACCTTTTTAGTTACTCCGTATTTATTTTTAGAATAATAATACTCCTTATGTAAGTCACATTATTTTTATATTTTAAATAAATTTTACGAAATAATCACACAACTTTTATTTTCTTATATTGTCTTTCAAGTGAAATTGGAAGGGAATGCACAATTAAGATAGCATGTGCACGTGACTGTACATATAATAATGTGAAAGCCAAAGGAAATTAATTACATAAGTATCGAATAAAATCTTAAACAAATTTTTTTCTCTTTTATTAAATAAATTGTGCATTAAAAAAAGGATAAAGAGTATAAACAAGAACCTATATCATTATTATTGAATCTATGAAGGAATAATGAACAATGGATCTTAGACAAAAGAACTATGTCTTTT